CAGGAGAAGCTAGCAGTGTCGAAATTAGAAAACATCAATGATGTTCTCAAAAGAGCTCGAAAAGATTTGTTTTCTCTATCATTCAGCAAAGAACATCTTGATAAGGTTAGTTCTTCAGAAGGCTCATTGATCTGTTCGTTTTGTAGATTGTTAAGTCTTTGTGCAGCTACCCTATTTTGAACGTTAGAAGATGCGAGTTATTCTGTAACAGTGAGAACATCTCAGTTGTCCTGAATTCGGGAACATACAATAAGCTGAAAGCTTCTTCTGTTTATCGTCTTGTTCTGCAACTGAACGCTGTGGGATGCTGCAAGGTTGGTTGTAGCATCCAACATTTCCACACTTGATTCCTCGATGCAGAGCAGTGCTATCGCTAACTTGCCGCAATAGTCAAAAGAGAAAACAGCTGGTTGGATTATCCTGGTGGGTGATTTTGGAAATAACGCAAACAATATTTGATATTAGATTTCTGAGGCTTCCACTAGTAAACTGTTGTGTTTCTCATGCCCGGGGCTTATTAAGGAACAGAGAATTGTTCGGAAGAGAGTTCCTGTGCCTGAAAAAAGATTTCCTCCTACTAAGCTTTGATCATTCATAGAAGTTTTTCAGAGGGAAATACTCCTGGACAATCACGATAGCTTCGGATTCTTAGCTGGGTGTACATCAAGAGTACTCCTGTAACATGGAAGTGGTATGATTACGGTTCATCTAAGACGGCATGCTAGAGTTAATTCCTGAGCTTGGCCGTAATATCGTTTGACAATCAAATATGAGAACCTGAAGCTCACTCTGCAGTTTGGTATTGGAATGCATCATGCAGGTTTGTCGACTTCGAACTTCGCATTGTTGAACATAGCAAGAAGCAGTTGTATAAGAATCCTGATCCTCCTTTGCCTCGCTTTTCTATTTTGAGGTTTGATTATCCCTTCCCCCATATTCATGTTCAATGCAATTCTACTTCGGATGTGTCATGTTGTTACCCACACCTCTCCAACCCTGTTCATACTCCTCCCCTAACTTGTTGAAACCGTGCTGGACGGTTAGGGTCTTTGTAGTTAGTTGTTGTAGTCTGAGCTCATTACCCTATCCTCCTCCGTTTTCATCGATTTCTTCCTATTTCTACTACTATCGTTAACTTACATGTTATCGATTGATTTCCTGTCTGAGTTTTTATGGTATCGTTTATCCTGTGCAATTTGAAAACTCTTTCTTCTTCTTTCTCGTTTTCACCTTTCAATCAGTATATTCCTTCATTCTCATTCTTTTGTTTTCATTTTCTCTCTATCAAGTTCAGAGAGAAGAGAGATTTTCATTTGTGAATGTAGAATAGAAAGACCCTGTTGTTCCCTTCTGGAAAGGAGTTCAACTGAGTTCTCAGCTCGCGATCTTCATTGTTTCTATGCTTGTTTGATATCTTTCTACCGTGTTCACACTATTCTGATTCAGTTTCTTGAGCTGTGTCTGATTGTGGTATGCGCTTTCCATTCCATTGATGCGCTGAGAAGTTATTCTTCATCTTTCACTCTCTTTCCTTTCCTTTCATTCTCCGTGCCTTGGATCGCTCATTCGAAACGAATTTTTCTCTCTTAAGTTTATACTT